ACTCCATAGATTGAAAGATACTTTTGATTAAATGCTGACAGGAAGAAAAGCTTTACAGAGTTAAAATATTGCTGAGGATTTAGCTCAGTGGTTCCGCCGCGTGCCTCGAAAGTGCAAGGTCCTGAGTTCAATCTCCAGTACCCCCCCCTACAAAAGTTGAATATTCTATATTTGTACCTCTGATCCAAAAGACAGCTTTTAAATGAATACTTTTAAATCTCTATTGACTTGATGGGCATGGTGGCACACGCCTGTAATCCCAGCACTTGGGAGGCTGAGGTAGGAGGATTACTGTGAGTTTGAGACCAACCTGGGCTACACAGTGAGTTCAAGGCCAGCCTAGGGGAGACATAGGAGAGACCCTGTCTCAAAAAAACCACATTGACTCATATACACTTTCACTATATCCTCAAATTGTGTGTGTATAACAGTGTATTCTTACACTAATACAGATTAAAACACACACAGAAAACTGACATAGCTGGCTGAAGGGTCTGGGAGATTCAAATAAAATAAATCAAGATTATCATAAAAAATATATAATACTTCTATAAAATTGAAACAGGAAAAACTCTTGGCTACTTTTTGGTCATTGTGGCAGTTTCTAAATCTAAGTTTATCAGGGGTGTTTTTAAGAGTCAGAACTACCATCACTCTTCCATTCCAGGCAATGGATCCTTGAAAAAAATTCCACCAATTTCCTTTAATATGTATATTTATTTCCCTTTCCTGAAATTTATGAAAACAGTATCTATAATCAATGGAAGTCAAACTACTGTATTTAACAAGTTCGTATACAGGTATGCTTGTGTATTTGTTGCAAAGCTAATTTGAATAAAAATGTCAATATTCATAGTCAAAAGTGTTCAAAGTTATATACTGGAGATGGTGCTTAAATATTTTCAACACAGTTTCTACTTGTTTTCATGATCAGTAGTACCTAAAATTCTCTCACATACAATTTTATTCTCTCCTCAAAATAACCTAGTATCTAAGTTGTCATCTTCCTAAAATGTACCACAAAAGCCAAAGCTTTGTAGTTATACAATTT